TACACAGCAATTATATAGTGCTTCACAAGACAGACTTCATTTTGGTGATAAATATTTGATTGTGTCTAGATTGTACCAGGAGCACCTGTGATCAAAGGTGACGGATCGTTTTTGTTTTGCATTGGTTGCATAACTTTTCCTCAGCTTTCTCGTAACCCAGAGAGTCCAGGACACTGACTTTCAATCTCTTTTTGCACAAGCATACGCATTTTCACAGTAAATGGTGTGATTTGTCATTCAGTTTAGCTTAATTAATGAATACCTCAGCAAGAATCGACATTTGTTTGTTTCAGCCTTTTGCTGGTGTTTGCAGGGTCCTCGAAAGGGACAAGACTAGGTTTTTTTTATTAGAATGAATGAGCAAGGTGAAAAAAATAAGCTTTTGCTGAAAGTTTTAGGGGACTGCAAATGCAAATCTGTTTTATGCTATAAATCTGGTACACCGCATCAAATGATGACATTTATGTTTGAGCTGAACATTCTCTCTTTCTAAATAAAGTGTATCACTACTATTACTTTTCTTGTACACCCTGACTTGGGACTTTCTGATTTTCGCTCTGCATCATGTGCAGGATGTTTGAACATTGTTGCTGAATACTAATGATACCAATATCGACACATAACAGAGCTGCTGGTATATTTGCAGGAAAGTTTAGAAAGGGAATGATTAATCTCAGTACAGCTTTACAATGTTATCCCATTGCACTTTATAAAAAACTTGTTCAAATTCATATTCTTTTAAAAGGAAATATTTAATCATACCAATCCACTACGATCCAGTTAAGAAGACTGATTCAAATTTGGCTGCGTACAGTTGAATTTGATTCTAATTGTAATGCAGTGGACTCAAACTTGTGTAATTGTGAACTGAAAAAAGTTATATATCAGTTCATGGAAAGAGCATAAAGAGTCTCTGACAATGTTCAGAGTCCTGATCCTTCAGCATCTCTGAAATAGATTCTTAGCAGAAGATCAGGACACATTTCAAAGACCCTTTGACTCCCCTCACTATCCTCTGCAAGGCTGTCTTATCTACTGCATTGCATCCTGAATACACTTAGGCTGCAACACTAATGATGACAAAAGAACATAGATGGAAAGGTAGAATCCATGGCGGGTAGTTTTGTACATTTGAGAAACTAGTCAAGAACCAAATCATTTATACTTTAAAAGTGTGTGCTTGCTTTTTAATGTGTCTGTTTTCCCTCCACTAAGCTGCTACTTTATTGGCAACATTTATATCCTTGTTTAAACTCCTTCGCAAATTCAAAGCAACACCAAATACGCAGCAATCAGCATTCAAAAAAAAAAAAAATGTTTGAATATAAACTTTGTGCTCAACATCTGCTGTGATGGTAGTAAAGCTGTTGTCACGGCAGATGCTGGTGTCAAGTGTTTGTATTATCTTTTTGCATAGTTAAAATGTCCAATCTGGTCTATGGTGTCTGCTGTTTGTGACGCCCACCTGATGCCCGACCTTGACTGTCAGGCTTGACATGCGGCACAGCTTCAGTAGCAAATAATGCAAGCTGAGCTGCTGCCAAGATGAAGGCCGCTTGACACTGTTAGTTTTCGAGCTGAGTTATCATGATGTCAGTCTGGGAGTGACTCAGAGTGGACTCAGAGCAACACAACTCTGCCCATCTGCTCCCTCCCTCAACAACACGCCGCGTAGCCTTAAACATGAGCTTCATATGTCTGAGGACCACCACAGTGCGGTAATGTTGTTTCGTCAAGGCAAACATGACATTGTTTGTTGTTGTTCTCCCAGCGTTAATATTAAAACTCTGTTTGTTCTGTATTTCCTCATCTAACTTTGTAGTTTCCATAGCAACAAGTGGATCTAAATAAAAGAGATTAGTAAACGCTTCTTTTTTTTTTTTTTTTTCCTAATTTGCAACATTTGACAGTTCACCCAGGGCAAAGTGAGCATGAAAACAAAGAGACAAAGCTGTTCAGAGAAACCAGCTGGCTTTTAAAAGAGCTTGCAGCAGCAAAAGCTCACAGTAATATCTTCTGTAAGATTTTATTAGTCTTATATTTCTAGAAGAAGTTTAGTCCACTCTTCTTTGCAACGTTGCATCAGTTCATTGACGTTTAGAGGCTATCGTGTTCCCACTTTTTTGATAAGTTCCCACCACAGGTTGAGTTGTCGCTTTTATAGGCAAATGCAAAACCTTAATTTCTTTCTTTTGTAGCCATTCTGTTGCAGCTCTGCTTGTCCATTTTGGTCCCAGCTTCATCTGTTGATCAGATGGGATCATATTTGACTGTAAGAGGAGATCATGGTTGACTCAGTGACTCAGGTTCCCAAAGAGCCCAAATCATCATCCCTCTACCACCATTACTGATAGTTGCAATGATCTGTTTGTGATACAAAGACGCTGTGCATTACAGCCAGGCATCTGAACTTTGATATCAGCTATTTGATGGACATTGCTCTAAAAAAAAACAACCAAAAAAACATGTGGTTCTATTAAAGTTTTGCAAAAAATGACTTTGCAATTTTTTGTTGTTAAAATGTAGCGTTTTGCCTTACTTTATGGTCATTTTATCTCCATACATGTTCTTTTCTCAAAACATTTTTGATTAATTTTTGATGTGTAATTATAAAGATATCGCAAGAAATAAAAACCGTATTGTTCAATATTCTTCTCCCCTACTAGAGACATTTTAATATAATTCCTGTACCACTTGGACAACATTACGGTCTGTGTCTTATTATAATTGTTTAACGTGTCTTCTTCCCAGACCCATATGAGGACCATTCAGGCTCTCTGCGTCTCATCACCATTAAACCCATGACGGCCCAGCCCACCTTCTCCTACCCCTCCTCCTCCTCGCACAGCCAGGATTCAGTGGTCGTCAATGGGGAGGTGAGTCTGCAAAACACACACATGGAGGTCTGTCTCATAGTGCTAGTGCTGACAAGTACAATTAGTAACTGAACCACATTTGGTTGGCTAGATTCACCTTCAGGCTGTGACGCAAACAGGAAATTTAAAGATTAAGGACACTATTGGAATTTTTTTTTTTTTGTACATATTATATTTGAAATATCAGCTTTTGCATAACGAATGATCCTACATCAAACCCAGCATAAAATTCATTCAAATTTAATGGCAACTGTGCCTAATCTGTCAATTTCTCACTTTACTCATCTATTATCCCGTCCTCCCACCTTGTGTAACATCACATCCCCTCTGGGACACATTGTGCTGTTACTGAATTTAGCTGTTGTTGGAGCAAACAGTTTCCCTCATCTAATCTCTCACCCTGTTTGTCACGTCTCACTCTTGTTCTGCCTCTGTGTCTGTGCACTTCTCAAGCTGAGACTGGCAAAAAATTATTCCTCAGCCCACATCACACAATATACCAGGACCAACAGCAGGGGATTTCTGTCCCTTCCCAATTTATAGGTGTGCTTTGAAGAAAAAATATGTTTAAGGTGTGAAAGGTTCCTTGACTATCTGTAATGTGTAAAAAGAAAAAGAAAAACATTTAACAGATATTTTGGATTTCTTTTTAACATGACGACTTGACACCAGTACTCAAATTTTTGTTTATTTGTAGGCAAACCACGTTGGGCTGAAGCAGAAATCGGACATCGAGCACTACAGAAACAAACTGCGTCAAAAGGCTCGAAGGAAGGGGTACGGAGAGTTCTCGCTCTCTGAGAGTCTCAACCATGGTTACAGTCACCGTGACAGCAGGCACAACCGACATGACGGCGCCATCAAACCGCCCTTGACTGCTGAGGAGAAGAGGGCCTCTTTTGCAGGATGTCATAAGAGGTGAGGAGTTGGCCTTATATAGCAACGAAATGACCAGAAAAAACGGCAACAAATGACTCTAAAATTCAGAGAAAGTTTTATTTCATTTTAACTTTAGTGGCATCTTTTTTTCCCACTTGTTCCTGACTAGTTTCCCTGTTAGTTTCAAAGAAGCATGAACTAGCTCCTAGGCTAATTAGTATCAACATATTGATACAATAAATTTGTTCTAGGCTAGTTAGTTTTAAATCAACAAAAGGGTTTTCTTCATCACAGTTCTTCATAGATTCATAAAAATGATTACAACTCTACCGTTTGTCTTGCATCTTCTCTTAGTTTCATCACAGATGCATTCAAGTATTAAAGTAAAGGCTCAACAGTTGGCTCATATTGTTATCCTCAGTACGTCTTGCTTGTGTGAAACTGGTGGTAATTAATACACATCCGTGCATAACATTATTAATACTTTGTAGATGAAACTGAAAATTCACGGCAAATATAATAAAAAGCTCGCTGTAGATTTGTGACTGTTGCTTAGCAACATGTAAAAGTTCACATATAAAAAGCCTGTTTTACTTCAGCTCACCGTCATCTATGTTCCTTAATCAAATCATGAAAATTTCATTTCTGTATGAAATGCAACTTACTGGACTAGAGACGCTCTATGTATAAATTTGCCTTAAGATTAGGAGTACAATTTGTTTATAAAACCTGGTGCACAGTGAGAAGATTTTTGTATGATTAAACACAAGAAAGTATGACAGGATTTAAACCCGTCTTCAGGAAAAGTGTGACATTTTAGTCAGAATCTGTTTTAATGCAGACATCTCAATTCCAATCTTCAGATCATGATAAATCATGAAAATGCATGTATGTATATATTCAAATGCATATCTGCAAAGTATTATATACAATAAACACACATTAGCATTCTCAATTTATATGTAGAAATGTTCTCAACTTCAGCAATTCATTTTAAGTTATTTTCTAGTTTACAATAAGAGCCGAAGGTTCAAGCTCTTAAGTTTTTGTACCTATGAATTTTTTTTATTTTCTTCAAAGACTGAGAAATTAGTTTTAGTGGACAGTAAAAAAAATATTTTTTTTCACCCACAAGCATTGATTTTAAATTACATTTTAGCAACAACAACTTGATGCTAAAAGAGTTCAACTTTCCAAATAAAAATCTGTCATTGAAGAATTTAACGGTCTACCTTACAGGCACAATTGATTTTAAACCTCATTTGGAAAAACAAAGGAATGCTTTTATTTCGAAAATGTTACAATTTTCAAACAAACACACTAGCTTTAGGAAGCTTGCCAGATTAGTAAACATGATTGGTTATGCTAATGGTTGAGTTAAATACAGAAAGGCAAGTGAAAACTAAAAGAAACAACAAAACCCCGATATCTGTCGACATCTGGTCAACAGGTACTCCCACCCACGAGAGCCCACCTACTGGAGCCGTCAGTCTCTGAGCAGCCCCAGCCCAGTGGAGACAGAGATGGACCTGCTAGTGCTGAGGGAGAGATCCAGGAGGGGGATCCGAAATAACGGCTACGACGTACGTATCTAGATCAGATCCATCCTCTGAATCAGTCCTTTGTTGCCTTTAGCACAGATTGAATGCATCGTTCTGAAATGTGCAGAGACTGTGCAGAGGCATCAACTCCAGTTTTATGCAAAGTGAAACAGTTTTGCAAAGGATCTCTGGTCACTTTACCTAAAAGCATTGGCTGCCGACAATATGCCACAATTGTGGGTCAATAGAAAACAATTTAGTCTTATTTATTTACACAGGGTGTATGCCTCTAATGTGTATTGACCTTCAGGTATACAAATTGCTAAGGGATGTTAAACCAAATAGATATCACGGTATATTTTCAATGTTATTTGTATGATTTTCTCCCCACATACATTATTAAAAGAGATTTAAAGTTACTCTGCCTGTTCTTGTTTTTGAAGCCATTGAAATTAGTTACTGAATGACCATTCCAACTGGAAAAAAGAACAACTGAGCTGTTAAAAACAAACATTTTAGATTACTGAAAAGGTCAGAAAAAAAAATCCTCTTGCATATATTTATTGCACGGGGTGCTTCAAGCAGGACCTGTGGCTGAAAGATTTCCTGTAGTTGAAACTTGGCTGCAGCAAGATCACACTGAGCTTTAAAATCAGATTCTCTCTGAAGCTGCAGTGAGCAGCTCAGGTCCTCTGACTCAGTCAGTCAACTGATCGCTGTGGCAAAGTAAATCACTGCCACTTTGTCAATCTATTAAAAATAATCTCCCCTGAGTATTTATAACTTTAATCCTTCCCATCCCTTCTTTCCTTTCCTCTTCCTCTCTGCTCAGACCTACAGGATTAATAAAATTACCCTCCCATGAACTTTATAAAACAGAGATAAAGACATGAAAATGAAAAAAAAGGAAGTGATTAAAAAAGAACAGATGGAGCGATTTCTTTGTTTTATTGGGGCAAAAAGTTGAAAGAAAAAAAAAAGAATGAGAGATTAGTGAAATATCCTTCTACTGTGACTCTGATGCACTGTAATGACACATGCGACTGTGCTACCCGGCTGAATGTCAATGGCTTTGAATGTGATTACAACCCATTCATGGATTCAGATTGGAGGCTCGATAGCGTTTACCCCTGCACCGGGCGCTTTGAAGCGGAACAAGGAGAAAAGTGTGTGCATCAACTGTGTGTTTGTGTCTATACACAGCTTAGAGTTGAAGTATTCTTAACTGGGTACTTTCTCATATTTGCTTTCAAGTTGCACAGTTGCTGTCATAAGCTACACTCATCCTCCCATTCACACTCTGTCTATCTCCGCTTATCCTTGCAAGGTCAAGGGAGGGCCGGTGTCCATCTCCAACATTCATTTAGAGCAATTTACTCCCTTCATAGGTAGTCAGTCTATCGCAGGGCGACACAGAGACACACAAGACAAAACGACCAGACGCATCCGTCCTTCAAAAACACAATTAAGAGATATGACAAAAGATTTTTTTTTGGCCAAGATCTGAGCCCAGGAAATTGTTGCTGCAATGCAGCAGTGCTGACAGCTGGACTTGTTTCAAGTTGCTATCCAATTTAAGATAGTTTGAAAAGTCTTTGTCAAAAGTAGGTATGGGTGTTATGATCTTTGCTTTTATAGCTTCTATTTAACAAGAAGGCATTTTGACTGAGTTGAGATCAAAAATAATTTTCATTTTCTTAATTTAGAGTAAATTTTTCTCCTTGGATCCTTAAAATAAAATTTAATGAGACATAATTACAATTAATAGGTCAGACTTGAAAGAAAAAAATCAGAAATTAGTATTGGTCAGGAAAGCCACATTTGCACATTTCTGCTTTCTGTGTAAAGTTCTTCCTTCCTACTCCTTTTTTTTTTGTGAGATGAGAAAGAAATCCATGGTGAAAAGCAGCTGAAAAAGTAATGACGGTTACAAGCCCGGGTGTTTGCTGTCAGTGTTGTTAAAATTAACAATCGGAAAGATAATGCTTGCACTCCCGGTCTGTTCTCTGAGTGTGCTTGCTGCGTTGCCAGGGGGAACCAGAACCGTTTGAGGAGACGAACGTGGACCGTCTGATGACCTCTCTGGGCTACGGAGGAGGATCCACTGGAACCGGGAACAGCAGTTTGGGGGTGAAAGCTCACCGCGGATCCGACTCCTCCACACTCAGCTCACAGCCGTCCATTGACGAGGTCCGCACGCAGATGCACATGTTGCTTGGCAACGCTTTCAGCCTGGCGCCTCCGGATCATGACCCTCCCTCCCCTCCAACGAAGTAATTTTATTTTTCTCACTGACGCTTTATCTGCCAGAACATCTGCATCATTCACAGCATTGTGTGGAGAAGCGAGAGGTCCCCTGGTGCACAGTTTGAACTTTTGAAGAGCAAACAGCCCACTCTCAAGCTGTTTCTCGAAAAGTGGAATACATTTTGAGCCTGAACATGCTTGCTCAGTGTTCCCGAGCATACTGGCGAGAGACAGAAGTGTAAAACCATATCTCTCTTCCATTTTTGATGCCGTTTATCTCTGAATTTCAGCCACCGCCACCACCACCATCATGCCCACAGTGTCTACAACCCCTCCCACAGCAGTCACTACAGTGATGGTGTGACCAGCGCTCCGGGGACGATGAACCACCCCTGTGGAGGCAGGCAGAGAAGCGCGGGTTACGAGGACATGCATCAATGTAGCCTGCCTAAACCGGTAAGTGCTAAATTAAAAGCTGCAGCCATAAAATAATGCTGGATGCTGAGCCTATTTTAAACCACCTTTTAATGTACTGTGGATAAAAAACCCTTTATTCAGTTAGTTGGTGTATATGTTTTATTTAAGCAAAAGTATTTTACAACTTTAACCTTTCCACATTGTATTAAGCTGGGCAGCAAACTTGTGCATGTTTTTTGGGGGGCATGTCATTATATAGAGCGACACAAGTAACTCATAATTGTACAGTGAAATGAAAATGCAGCCATTTGCCATTATAAGCCTCCTGACTTAATGTCGCTATTGAATTTCTGCAATCCAATGTATTATTTATTTTTGCTTTATTAATTGTGGCGCAACCACAATTTTTTTTCAACCACCTGACCAGCATTGTGGAGCAACAGGGATGCTTCAATACTCATCTTACCGATGAAGGAAGTCTTGTCACTTTGCCTCTTTCCTTTATTTGTTCAAAAGACTCTAAATTATAGAAAATGTATGACAGATCTTAATTATTTACATCAAAATGTTTTTGGATGGGTAGTTTTAGACGTCATCGCAGCAGCTAAAGCAACTATTAAAGCAGGAGGAGCTTTAATAGTTAATGGGAACAAAAACCTGAGCTGGTACCAATAATAAAACCACTATTTGCAACTCAAATGTATAAACCTGTTACTTACTTTTTGTTCTAAGTTGTGTGTGTGTGTGTGTGTTTTTTTTTTCTTTGCTGTGTATTGACTCTCTTATTGCAGGGTTTCCGGTTCACTCAGCTTCCCGATATGGGCATCGGCTCTCCTCCGCCTCTAATCCCCTCCAGACCGGGACCGCCACCTGGAACCTCAATACGATGGTAACGCACACCAACGCAAATACAGAAAAATATGTCCCCTTATGTGGTATCAACTTCAGTACGAATAGGAAGATGACACTCTGTCCTCTCACCGAAAGACGTCGTTTATAGCAATGTTACATCGCTGAGACATTTGGAACAGGAAATACATAACATTTAAAGGCTCTCAGATTAAACAGAAGGTTTGCGTCTAAAAGAATGAGTCAAACAGATTTAAAGTGACTGGAGAGAACACATTTAAAGTGACTCTGCACGCTAACTTCCCTCTGTCGGGCCCATATGTTAGTCTGCATCACGTGACCTGAGCATGCTCTTCATTTCAATGCTGTTGCTGTGTGCTCTGTGTTGCTGGGCACTTGAGCACTGCAGGAAGTGATTGACTGCTCCGATGTTCATGTTCCCAAGAAGTAACGTGATCGCCATCTAGTGGGCTATGTGTAGAAAACACTGCAGAGAGCACAAAAGCCCCCAGCTGTGAGCAGCGACACGGAGACAAACATACTATTATGAGATGATTATTTTAAATTGAGTTCTTAAGATGTGTATTACTGATGTAGGAAATAAGAGCAGTTTTGTATGTTGTGCTGAAATCCAAGCAGTTGTTTTTTTTTATTTTTTATGTTTATTTAAATGCAGGTTTTAGTGGTTAACCACTCAGCTCTGCAGACTTCAGTTCCTCTGTGCCCCTGTGGGAGGAGGAGAGCAGCATGTTAATTCCTCTTTAGTATGCTGTGTGTGGCATTAATGTGCTCTGTGCATTATGGCTCTGAGAATCTGTCAGTGACCTCATCTGTCCCCTGATCCTGCACAGTGCTTCAACATCCAGAGTGTTTCTACAGTGCAGGCCACTGCGCTGTGATGTGCTGGATGATTTACAATACCTCACTGACAGCAGCAGCCGTGCTCTGCACACAGAGCAGGTGCAAAGTTCAGGATCGATAGTGAAGATTCTTGAAACAGCGGTGTTTCCAAAAATCGTTTCACATGCCAGGTAGAACAAATATCAAAATATCCCAACGCGGTTAAATACTTAGATGATTATTCACATTTTTTGCACGGTAACAGGATTGACTCATGACAAATGTCTCCGGTGGTTGTTTAAGATGCTGACTGGATGCTCTGTTTTCTCTTTTTTTTGCAATAAATGAAAAGTTTGTATATTATGTATAGATGTAAATGTAGACTTTTGGATGCCTTTTATTTTAATGTTGTGAATTAACTAAAAATAATTTAATCTGCTCACCTGTTCATCAGTACAGGATACCATTAATTGCATAGCAGTGATTACCTGAAAAACAACTGCAGTAGATGCACCAGACTTGGCTAGAACCAAACCAGGCAGTTACAGTGAGACTTGACAATGGAGAAGTGGTTTGTGACAACCAGTGATTTACAAGTATTTTCTATTATGCACTCTCAGTCTGCTGCAGAAAAAAACAAAAACAACAAAAAAAAAACTGTCCCACTGCAGGTAGTTTTGCGTAGTTTGATTAATCTGGGGTTATAATCTGAACTATAAGAGTCAAGTGAATTTAATGGGAATCTGGGCCACAATTAAAGACTGAGTGATATATAATTAAACTCGATTATAAATGAGACTTGAGCATTTTTCATGATTATTTCTTTTCATAATTTATCAAAAATACTCAACTGTCAAGAAAAATAGAATAAAATGTAACAGTTAAGTACATGGGGAGAAATAGAGATGAGTTGGCAAAGTGGCAATGCTTTGGTATAAAATGGGTAACAAGTGGAAGGACACCACTGACTCCTGAACTGAAATGTTGTTTTGTTTCTTATCATTCAGTTGTTCAGCTTTATTCAGAGCGTTCCTTGTCACTATTTATGTTAATTTCACATAATTACAGGTTTATCTGCCTTTGGTGTGCACCGTTCAAAGTGCTCTCACTGGATGTCAGATAACATTTCTGTTGCTTTTGTCCGTCATGACTCAGGAGGCTCAGCTACCTTCCCTGCCTGCTGACAACTGAACTGTCAGCACAGATTAAACATAAAACCGAGAGCCACTTTTACTGCTCTGATCCAACTTAAACCCCAGCTTCCATGCTCAAATTATTTGTTTTAATTATTTTTCAAAAAGCAGCAAGCATAGTTTATGTAAAACTGTATCTTATAAATCTGTGTTGACTAAAGAACTGAGAGAATTTAACTGGCTCGCATTTACATCTTATTTGGCGTAAAAAGCAACACTTGTACTCCAAATGAAATTGAGAATATGTCTAAGCAATGAAACACATACGACCTCCAACTTTAATTTTTTTCGTGTAATTCTATTTTCCTTGATATTTTTTCAGTCTACTTCTGGTTTGATCAAAGACCATAAAGTCAATTTACTGAGTCAACTAGTTGATCAGAACCATGATAAATGGAAAAATAATTTATAGCTTAGTATATATAGCTTCATATCCATTTTATATATTTAGTATCGTGTTCATAAGCACATTGTTATGTTTCACAGCAGAAGCGTGCGGCGTATTTAAGCTAGATGAAGCTCTAGTTTGGTGCTGCCGATTGTTTTATGGGGGTTTTTTTGTTCTGTTTGGAGTTGAAATCAGTGTCTCTTCTGCAGTAACAGCTCCACCCCTGATGTGAGTCTGAAGCCCCGTGTGTCCGAAGCATCAGATCTGCAGACCCAGCAGCACAACGGCGCCCCCTACCTGCCGCTCTCTAGGACACCGTTCCCTGCTGTCACTGTAGATCAGTCCATCAGCACCTACTCAGGCAAGACACGGCATTAGCATGTTGAAACACTGGGGACAGGAGAGTGGTTTGTTTTCACTATTACTGTCATCCTAACAGGAAACCCAATCACAGCAGTCTATGCTATATCAGCCAATCGTCCGGGTTACTCAGACTACTTCGTCATGTCTCCACCGTCCTCATATCGGAGTCCCTCCTGGATGTCCTATCCACCCGAACCTGAAGATTTACCACGGCAGTGGAACGACACACCTGTAAGACCCACACAGTGATGTGAAAAAGTATTTACCAGGCTGTAGACTGGTTGTGTTTTTGCCTTTATTGTCACACTTAAATATTTCAGATGGTAAAATAAATGGAATAACATATGTAATAATAAATGTACGCTGTGTAAATACAAGAAACTGTTTTTAAGTGACATTTTAAAAATATTAAGGCTGTTCAAGCCACTCAGACATATTACAAAAAAGTGAACTGTGCAACATCCATGTTAATAACAAACCTTTAGAATGGAGAAATCTATCGTAGAGCCTGTGTGACAACATGAAGTTGGCTAAATGATCTCAGGAAACAATGCATTTAAAAAAAAATTAAAGAATAGATGAAAAACAAAGTCACTGACACCATTCAGTCTGGAGAGGGTTAAAAATATCTGAGGCTTTGGGACACCAATGAACATCAGCCAGGACCTTTATGTACAAATGGTGAAAACATGGAGCAGCAGTAATCCCTCCTAGGAGCAGATGACTCATCCAGGTGGTCACATCGGCACCCATAGCAACATCTGTAGCACTGTGGGCTTCACATGCCTCAGGTGAGGTCAGTGATCATGACTCAAGCACAAAACTGGCAGCCGTGAGAGGGATGAAAGGACAAAGCCACGGCTGACCAAAGAGAAAACAAAGAGACGTCTGACAGTTTCATCTTGCATAAAACAAATGCAGAATTTAAGAAAACAAACATCATACACTGTGATAAGTGAGATAATCTGGGGTACATTTTTTTTGCTTCAGTACTCTGACGAAGCAGTCATAGAAGCAAAACCATTTTTTCTTCTTTCTCAACAATGTGGAAGGGAAATGTTCACCAGTACTTTGTGACCTTAGGTTGAAGCACGCTTGAGTTATGCAGCAGGATAAGCAGTGAGACAAGTTCACCCTGAAATGGCTCAAAACAACACTGTTGTGGAGTGACCTAGTCAAAGTTTGTACTTAAATCTGATTGTGAGGCTTTGGCGTGACCTTAAACATGTCAAAGCCTTCATCTCTTTTGCAAGTAAGAGAGGACCAAAGGATGAAGAAGACTCGTTGCCAGCAGTGGCACTTATTGGACTGGTGGTAAATTACTTCTCCATGTGCTTTCCACATACTTTTCCCGCATAAAAAAAATGAGAATCACTTGACAGCTGCTGTTGTGTTTAATACGATTATCTTCATCTAATTGTAAAAATATGTCTGATGATTCGAAACATTAAAATGTGACAAAAAAAAATCTGAAGTTGTGTAAGGGGGTAAATACTTTTACATGACATCTTTATTTCTTCGAAACAGAAAGTTATGTGCAGAAATGTGAAAGGATTTTTCATTGTGTGGTAACATCTTTTATGTCTTCCTTTGCTTTTTTCCCCCTGATCTCTGCAGAACTCTCGCCACCTGGAGACCATCTGCTGAAGATGGCCACCGGTGACGCCGAGCAGAAACACTCTGAATCGGTGGGTCAGCTCTCCACTGCTATTTTTATTCGTAAAAGAAAAGCTGTTTTGTCATCATTGTGCAGATGAGCGATTGTTGATTTCATTACATTCATACAATTAATTTTTGATTTAAAGCCCCTAGAGTTAGAAAATGTCCTGTAATCATTTAATTCAGCGTTAAAGGACAGGTTTTGGTTCAGGTTTTTGAATAATTACTCTCTCCAAATAGTTTTTAGAGCCACTTTATGCTACATGTTTCCAGTCATTCAAATTACAAATTGATTTTGCTCGTCTAAAGCTGCACATTTCGACTCAGAATGTGGTTTGGAGGATGAAGGGTGTACACAGAAAGTATAAGGAATAGTTCTACAACGTGCAGTAAGTTTTGCTTTCGCAGTTGGTGAAGATTGGTCAATTGACCCAGACAGTGACAACATCACGGGGTTCATAGGTCAGACCGCAGAGCAGCTTGGAGGCTGACACCGTTTAATCTTTGCCGTTATTGAGCTCAGAGCCAAAGCTGCACCTGCAGCATCCCGTGGCTGGAAGTCGGTTTAAAGGTCAGCTTAAAATTTCTGGCAAACTGACAGACGATGAAGAATACTCTGGACTACACAGAGACATGTTAACAGATCACACAAGGCTCTGAAGAGTCTCCGTTTCAAACCTGCACAAATGTTCCTGTGGCTCAGTTCAGTTCATTTCAGTTAAAAGACCCTTTTTATGAAATGCATTAAAAAATGCCACAGTTTTCTCAGTCTGTTCACTAAAATGTTTGCAGCTGTAATTTCAGCAAAAGGTAGTTTTACTTAGCATAGATTCAGCTGAAAGTAATGTACTGAAAAATATTTAAAAAGCAGTCTTATAAAAAAAAAAAAAAAAACCTGGGGAAAGACTTTTAGAAACTAGCCTGATTGATCAAGACCACTTTTGAAGAATCAAAGAGGGTTTGGTTCATAGGAAGCAAAGTGCAAGGAAAGTAAAGTGGTTAAAAGTCTCTGCGCAGTACCATCGATTGTTGAAACTTGGGGTTTTGTTTGCGCCTCTTTCTGTTTTCTCACAGCTTTATTTCACCCTTTTGCTTCCTGCAGGTATCTCTTCGACGACATAGATGACCTCTTTCCCTCTGAAGGCACTCTCCGGCTTCATCGACCCTCGTCTTCTCTGACCTCCGTCTCATCTAAGAACCTGAGAGTGACGCTAGTTCCTCTGCTCCAGGAAGTCTCTCACTTTCTCCTCTTTAATATCTTTACAAGCGAGATCCTCAGCCATAAATTTTGAGCAACCCCTGGCCTCTGTAGTCTGCTCAGGCCCCTTTAACTCTTCTGCAGTGCCCACTGCTGTACAGGCGAAAGCCCCCCCTCCACACGCTGGTTGGTGAAGCTGAGCTGCGCTGAGCTTCCTGCAGTGTGAAAGAACAGAGCGAGTACAGCACAGTGTGACAAACTCTAGCACTTATTTGCCATCTTCCCAGCACACGATGGCACACAGTTATCAGTACGTTACTGCCCCAGCAATGGCCATTACTACTCCGTGGCACTGGACCAGGCCGGTCTGGACTGGACTGGACTGGACTGGACTGGACTGGACTGGACTGGACTCGAGGTCCACCACAAAGCCAGGAAAGCTGAACTGACGTAAAACTGTGCTTTTTTTGATGAATCCAAATTCCTCTGTAAATCTTATACAGCTGGTAAATATATGTATTTTAAACTTGAGTAAGGAAAAAAAAAATAAGGGAAAAAAGATGAACAACAATGACAAAAAAAAAAAACAACAACAACAACAACAAAAAAACAATCTCTGGTCCTCAGCTGTCTCAATTTTAGTTTTTGGATATTTGTGTGCTTTTGTCTTCTTTTTTTTTTTGCATTGATTATTATCAATGGATTACTATTCAAAACAAAACCGTGGGTGTTGCTTATTCACTCACAATATTTCAAGCAAGAAACACGTTCCATTCTTTGAGGCAGAGAAATCAGCGGCTTAGTTGTACGTGGTTATGATGGCTTTTCTATACTTTTGAAAAAATAATTGTTTAACATTTTCCTTCAGTAGATTCAGTAATGAAAAAAAAAGAATTAGTCACAATGTTCTGTCCAAACATCTGTTGATGACGTTTTTGTCCAGTTTCTTGTCACATTGGTCGAACTGAAGTCATTACAACCATTCTGAGATTTGTCCTCGACGTTGAGCGCTGCGGATGACTTGAGTGACGCTTCGTTAGGATGATTTTCAGCTGTAGTTTGAACCAAGTCTCCTCTGCTGTGTGAACACATCAGTATTCAGCTGTTTTACTTGAAAGTTGTCAACCGTATTCTACTGTATAAAAAAAAACAAAAAAAAACAGACTTTTTTTTTTTTTTTTTTACTTTTGTCCAAATGAGGACGGGTTTAATATTTGGATTGTGTTTGACGACATGACCCAAAGGACTTGGTTGAAGGGCCAGACCATGATAAGGATCACATGCATTGTTGTAAATAACAGATGATTTAATGAAGAGATTTATGCAAAGCGGTGTGGGAAGGAAACTTTGCTGGACATTATTCTGATGCCATTTTCCTCCTTCTTAGTTTTTTGGTGTTTATGTTGAAGAATGGTCAGAGAGTTTTTGTGGCACTATGACTCTCTGAAGGTTTCACACATTTCAATATCATCTGTATTACGAAGCAGGTTTTCTTTTAGAGATTTGGCAGCTAGAAATTAGTTGGTGGTTAACTACTTATTTAAATCGTTAAAACTCCATAGTAGAATGATTATAAAACATACAATTTCAATGGTGTTTTGAAAACAAGAATGAGGTTTTAATTTCTTCGAGATTTTATCTCAACAAATATTAAAAAATATATACATAAATTCATCTAAATCATTTGATAAGTAGTGGAAAAGAATCTAGAACCTCTTTTAATTTGAAAAGACCGAGGCCTACTCATGTCTGGTTGTTGCTCATCATCGTCAGCAAGTAGTTTTTCTTGGATTTGACAGAAGTCCTTGGATTGACCATTAGTCAGAAAAATGTGAAAGTCCCAGAAATGTCTTTAGAAAAGGGAATTGTCGATTTACATAAGGTTGTAAAATCTCTTTGAGCCATTTCAACCATGCCTGCCTCCCTGCAGTGATATTGGTGCATTGGGAAAAGGGAATAAAAGAATGAAAAGGGGGCAACAGCCTATTAATTCTTCAACTTTGCCTCAAATCCACAGCGAGGTGTTTTGTGCTACTATACTATGCAATTGGGTGTTCTTACAGGACAATGATCCAAAACACATAAAAACCTGTTTTTGCAAAGGACAGTGCAGAATAACACCAAGCTTCTGCAACAAACCACAACCTAAACCAAATTGTTTCTGCCTGCAAACCAAACTATCTAAATTAGTTTTACAGTATCTGTAAAACTGACATAGCTTCATACTTGACCACAAATCTGTTCTTCGGGAGGCATTTAGCTTGTTCATGTGGGCAACTGCAGATTTTAGTCAGACCTAAAGGTGATGATTAGGTATCAGAAACTGTTTCTTGGTGTCAGTTCAGTTTGAGTGTTCTTCCAGGCAGAATTAAGCCAGAAGGTTGTTAATGGCTCAAGTGGAAGGGATGTTAAGCATATATTAATTTGGGTATATGTAAATAGCTAATGATGCACAAATGGTTAAACAAGAAGAAAGCCTGTAGTACAAAAAGACCCCTTGATTTAAACTCTGAATTTTCTCAATAAGCATCTAACCCTGCTTCGTAGTACTGGGCCCCCTGGCATCTCATGACGAAACTAACACAACTACCAACAGTATTCCTGGCACATCATCAGCAGTAAGAGCCATAAAATAGTGGGGATAATGCAATATTTTATTACCGAGAATATCTAAAATGTATTATTTTTAGTGAAGAACTAAAATTCTTTAAGCACTCTGTATTTACGGCTTCTCATCATTTAGATGTTAGTAAAGGAGGTTATAGCCATATATTAACATCACTTAGTGACCATAAGACGGTGTCGTGTCAAAGTAAATGATACCAAATAACTGAAATGCTGAGGCACAAAATCTGAAATTAGTATAGATGGTAGGACACTTTTATTGAAAGGACAATGTTAGCAGAGAAAAAGAGACCAATTAGAGCAAAGCTAATGCTATGTGTAATCTACTGAGCTGCTCAGACTTGAAAATGTAAAGGAAGTCACAATTATACAACAGTGACATTCAGTTGACCTGCAGTAGAAAGAAACAAATTGCGGTCCGAATGTGTCATTTTCATTTTGATGTTATGGTCCTATGAAGTGGCTAGAGAAAGCACTTTGTCTTTGTAAATTTACACACCTGAAGTTAAAACTGAACAGAGGGAGTCTTCCTTTTCTTCTTAATAACAGCTTAATCTTAGGATCAGCTCAACAATAACTTGTATTGAATGTCAAATTTAAAAATTTTGCTAGCTTCTAAATCTGCACTGAAATCACTGAAATGGGTGAAAATAATTGTCATTTTGAAATTGCTTTTGTTTTTTCTTGATTCTGGCTGTGGAAATTGCCTTTTTTTAAACAATTCTATTTTAAAATAATAATAAATAAAAAAAAATAGTTCCACATTATTTATAAAGATGCTGTGAAAAGGATTTTATGTGACGGAAGCTGCTTTTTCCCCACTTTCCCACTGTGGGAGTGAAAAATAGTAAGAAAAAGCAAACTGATGAGATGGCCGAACTGTAAGCACGCACAGTACTGTTACCGTGTCATCCCGGGACATTTAGAACTGCCATTGTATTTTTAAAATCATACCCACTGTACAGACTCATGTAGTTAAAGACAAGAGAGAAAAAGAAAGAGAAAAAAACTTCCCTTCATGTTTTTTATTTAACAAACTTGTGTTAAAGCGATGGATGGTTAGTGCTTCTTTTTTTTTTTTTTTTTGCTTGGTTTCGTTTTTAAAGCAGCAGTTTGAAAAAGTTTTGAAGCTCGGCTGGAAGTTTATGTGCAATGTTTCGCTCGACCCGAGTGACTGTTAGATACTTTCATTGTCGATGGGCTTCAGGATGGCTTTGGTATTAATTTGAACCCCTTCATGATGCTGTGATGTCATGATGGCGCCGATGATGTCACTGTCGTCACTTTGGTGTTACGCTCACGGTGGCGACATGAATGCTCTTGGATACAGTTAAGCTGAAAACTTTGGTGAATTTAAACAATAAATACAAATGATAATGAAACTGGGATGTGTTGGTTGTTTTTTCCAGTCATTTCTGTCGCACGCAGAGTGATAAGTTTAAAATCTTTAGTTAGTTGTCAATTTAGCTGACTTTGACGGGAAATGAAAATCGCAAGAAGTTTTACTGTGTAATTTAACGGCTTGAAATTGGGCCTCTGTCGCTTTAAAAACTTCTGCTCTTTTTGACACTCTTCCTCCAAGAAGTCATCACAACGTCTTTCCTCTGTTAGCTCGTACAACGAGCTCGGCAGGTGTGCAGTTCCACCGGGTGTTTGCTAATTGCTGCTGGCTAGTCTGAAGGAGCTGAATAGAGGGAGACACAGGGGACGGGTGCTCTGTGAAACTACAGCTCCAGGAAGGCGGTGCTATGTTCACCCAGGTGTTTTCACAACTGAATGGTTGCCACGGGAGATTAGACAATTTTTCAAACATGCATGAAATAATCAAGGCCACGGTCCAGGTATGTCTTTAATAATATTATAACAGGATGTGAAGCTCCTTTATAAATCAGAAATTGTATTCAGTGGTCACATTTTGCACACATGTTCATGGGAAAAGACTCCAAATTGAGGGAAACCCACAAAAGGTAATTGTTTTTGCACTTTGTCCAGTGTCCAAAGAGTGGAAGTAAAAAATGTGGTGAGAGAATTGCTCAAGCAACAAAAAGGGGAATTTGCAACGTTGCCACACCCAGACCTCATGGGATAGAAGAACTGTACCTCGACTGCCATGTCAGGACGCCTTGGCTGGGCTAAACAGAACTGTAACGGCACTGTTCCCCGGTGGTCAGGTGAAACGAAACGTAGCATTTCATCTGGAGATCAAAGTCCCACCATTTGGAGGAAGAGTAGAAAAGCGTAGAATCTAAGGAGTTTGAGATCCAGTGTGTTTCCAGTCACTGATGATGGTGTTGGTCCACTGTTTTCCAAAATCAGTGCAAAACCAGAAAACTTTTGAGCGCTTTGAGCTCAGAGAAAAATGTATGCAGATTTTATTTCAGATAATACCTGTTAACACCAGGTTGAGCGTCTACGGTGTCATCATCCTTCATTAGCCTTCGAACCCAAACAATCTAAATCCCTGTAAATACATGGAGCATTTTCAGGAGGAAGACCCAGCAATGCAAATGAGCCAAAGGCTGCTGCAAAGCAACCTGGCCTTCCATTACACCTTAGCAGAGCCACAGTCTGATTACCTTCATGTCCCGCTTCACTGATGCAGTTATTCATGCAAAACCAGCTCTGACAAAGTAATGGGTGCTTATGATGAACATGATTATACTTTTCAGTAGGTTGGCATTTCTGAATTCAAGATTCCTGTTAATGGTCCCATGTTATTATTCAAATTTCCGGAAAACAGACTTTTTTTGTGGGCGGTTCTTTGAGCATTATGTCATGGTAGAAAGCTGCCTTACATCAATGCAGTAAATTTATATCATTTTATACCATAATGTGACTCTGCAGAGCTGAACTGTCAATGAGATCATTTGCACGTTATGAACTATGTGGAAAGTGATCGCTCTGTTTGTATG